CAAATTAAAAAAAAAAAAACTGAAATATACCAAGAATCCTCTTGGGCCATAGTGGAAGAAAAATAGAAATCAATACAAAGAGTGACTCTCAAAAACAAACAAATACATGAAAACTAAAGAACTTGCTCCCGAATGAGTTTTGGGTAAAGAACAAAATTAAGGCAGAAATAAAAAAATTATTTGAAATAATGAAAATCAAAATATAATATATTGAAACCTCTAGGATGCAGCAAAAACAGTGTTAAGAAGAAAGTTTATAGTGCTAAATGCCTATATAAAAAAGAACAATCTCAAATTAACAACCTAATGTCACACCTAAAGGAACTACAAAAACAATAACAAATTAAACACCAAGACTAGCTGAAGAAATAATAAAAATCAGAGCAGAACTAAATGAAGTTGAGACTAAAAGAACTATACAAGGATTGATGAAATGAAAAAAATGGTTCTTTGAAAGGATAAACAAGATCAATAAACCACTAGCTAGATTAGTAATTACCCAGAAATATACAGCCTCCAAAGATTGAATCAGAAAGAAATTGAAACCCCGAACAGACCAGTATTGAGTTCCAAAATTGAATCAGTAATAAAAACCTTTCCACTAAAGAAAAAAGTCCTTGACCAGATGGATTCACAGCCAAATTCTACCAGACGAACAAAGAAGAGCTGATACCAATTCTACTGAAACTATTCCAAAATATCAAAGAGCAGGGACTCCTCCCTAACTGATTCCACAAAACCAGTATCATCCTGATACCAAAATCTGGCAAAGACACAACAAAAGTCGAAAACTACAGGCCAATATCCCTGATGAACACAGATGCAAAAATCCTCAACAAAATACTGGCAAATGGAACACAGTAGCACATCAAAAAGGTAATACACCATGATCAAGTGGGCTTCATTCCTCAGACGCAAGGATGATTCAATATATACAAATCAGTAAATGTAAAAAGAGAGTTTAAAACAAAAACCATATGATCATATCAATAGATGCAGAAAAAAACATTAGATAAAATCTAACATCTCTTTAGGATTAAAAACCCTCAACAAACTAGGCATTGAAGACAAAACTACAGTCAATATTATACTTAATGGAGAAATTTGAAAGGGTCTCCCCTAAAATCTGGAACAAAACAGGGAGGTCCACTTTCACCACTCCTATTCAACACAGTACTAAAGTCCTAGCAAGAGCAATCAGCCAAGAGAAAGAAAGAAAAGGCATCCAAAGAGGAAGTCAAGTTATCTCTCTTCACTGACAATAGGATTCTACACCTAGAAAACCCTAAAGATCCTGCCAAAAGACTCTCAGACCTGAAACATGACTTTAGCAAAGTTTAAAGTTACAAATTCAAAGTACAAAAAATCAGGAGTTCGCATTAAAACAACATATTTAAGAAAAAAAATCAGAAGCATTTCTATAAACCAGTAACATTCATGCTGAAAAGCAAATCAAGAGCACAATCCCATTAACAACAGCCACACACACACAAATCAAACCTAGGAAAACAAAAAACCAACAGCTAAAGAAGTATCTGCTTCACTTTGATCAATCATTTTTCCCTCCAATAAACTGTACTGGCTGACCAAGAAGTACTGAATTTACATTAAAAATGGGTAACTCATCAAGCAAGTAAATGCTCTTCAATCAAACATCATCAAAGATTCACCCATTTCCAAACTTGCAAAATTTTTGCATCACTAAAAACAATATGGCTTTGGTAGTGATCAGGATTAGATACTGCTCATTAACTTGATTTGAACAAGAAGGGCACAGCATTGGTGTTTTGTCTTTTGTTTTTTTTTTTTTTTTTTTTTTGAGATGGAGTCTTGCTCCGTCACCCAGGCTGGAGTGCAGTGGCACGATCTTGCCTCACTGCAACCTCCACCTCCTGGGCTCAAACAATTCTGCCTGGCTAATTTTTATATTTTTAGTAGAGACAGAGTTTCACCATGTTGGCCGGGCCAGTCTTAAACTCCTGACCTTAAGTGATCCCCCTACCTTGGCCTCCCAAATTCCTGGGATTACAGGCGTGAGCCACCACACCTGGCTGAATGTGAGAGTAACTTGAACAATGGTAAACAAATGTGAATGACTGTTGACTATCTCATCTAAGAGAATTTTTTCAAATTTGGATTTGCAGTGCCACAATGTCATTTCACCCAAGCAGGTCAACTATTTCATAAAATTATATTGTTTTCCTCTGACAACAAGAAAGATGTAATCTCTATTAGACATATTCAGAAAGGTTTGTTTTCTGTATCTGGTATGATTTTTGTTTTTCTCATTAAAAGAAAAATTCCTGTGAAACAAGTTGAGAATCTAGCCACTTAAGTAATATTAGATGCCTCAGTTCACTAACTCTTCACTTTCCATTCTACTCCTTACATTAGTAAACCAAACTACAAAACTCCAAGATTACTAATCTAGGTAGCTAGTCATCAACTATAAGTCCAATATTTTAACAGTTACAAATAGCTAAAAATGTTGATAGAATATATTGGACAGTATAAGACATCTTGGGACAGGAGAAGAAAACAAACCTGGAAAACCTAGTTACAGTGCTTTGGTAGAATGAATAAGCCTATGTCTACAGTCAGTGGTTGGGCTTTACGTCCCAGTTCTATTAGTATTTAGCTGTGGAATCCCTGGAGAAGTTACCTAGTTTTTCTAAGCCTCAGTTTCCCCAGACCTCCTTCACAGGGATTCTGTGAATGAAAAACGCCACCATGTATAAAAGTTAACTTAAAATGTGAAACCATACACTGAATGCACCTAGTTAGGAGGCATAACGACACTTTCTACCCAAACATTAGGGAGGGAGTTGCCCATAGGCAGCCACCAAGTCCACAGGCTGCTTACTACCATGCAGAGCAATGGCCTTCACTTTCAACTTCCACCTCTGGAAGGGATATTTTTAGGAGTGCTGTAGAGGGAAGGGGGAAGAAGGCGACAATGAAAAAGAATTATTTAAGCAAAATGTCTACTTGTTATGAATCAAGGGATTGCAAGAGGTTCAAAGAGCAACGCCAACAGAAGCAAATTAAAACACTGATGTTTAGCATCCCTATACATATTTTTGCCCAACTAGAAATCATTAATAGCAAGTTTAAATAATCTGATTTATCAATATAAAAATCAAAAAGGAAAACAACCCACAGACTATAAAACATTATAAATAGGAATTAAACAGAGTAGCCACATACACAGCCAAAGTGCCCCCACCCCCAATTCCACCCCCTGCCCCAATACAAGAGTACGGGTGAAGAGACAACAACAGGAATATGTTTGGGTCATTATTTTCACTTTAGGTGAAGATGTATTTGATGATCTCACTCATTCTGAGCAAATGGGAAATATACAATTAGATATGTTGGAATGCTGGAACAAAAGGGAACAGAAAAAATGGTTTCAATATGTGAGTGACGTATTGCAGTGTACCCACTTAACAGATTAGTGGAAACTGCTAAGTTAGTGAAAATCTGAACCAAGAGTTTGATTTTTAATTCTTAGTGATGTTATTAATGGCTCAATTAAATAGTATCAAAAACCATCTGATCTTCAACAAACCTGACAAAAACAAGCAATGGGGAAAGATTCCCTGTTTAATAAATGGTGTTGGGAAAACTGGCTAGCCATGTGCAGAAAGCTGAAACTGGACCCCTTTCCTGACACCTTACACTGAAATTAACTCCAGATGGATTAAAGATTTAAACATAAAACCTAACACCATAAAAACCCTAGAAGAAAAACTAGGCAAAACAATTCAGGACATAGGCATAGGCAAGGATTTCATGACTCAAACACCAAAAGCCATAGCAAAAAAAAAAAAAGCCAAAACAGACAAATGGGACCTAATTAAACTCCAGAGCTTCTGCACAGCAAAAGAAACAATCATTAGAGTGAACAGGCAACCAACAGAATGGGGAAAAATCTTTGCAATCTACCCATCTGACAAAGGCCTAATATCCAGAATCTACAAAGAACTAAAGCAGCTTTACAAGAAACAAACAAACAAACCCATTCAAAAGTAGGCGAAGGATGTGAACAGACACTTTTCAAAAGAAGACATTTACAAAGCCAACAAACATATGAAAAAATGCGCATCATCACTGGTCATCAGAGAAATGCAAATCAAAACCACATTGAGATACCATTTCATGCCAGATAGAATGGCTATCATTAAAAAATCAGGAGACAACAGATGCTGGAGAGGATGTGGAGAAAAAGGAACACTTACACACTGTTGGTGGGAGTGTAAATTAGTTCAACCATTGTGGAAGACAGTGTGGCAACTTCTCTATTTCAAGAATCTAGAAACAAAAATTCCATTTAACCCAGCAATCCCATTACTGGGATTTATAATCCCAAAGGATTATAAATAGCTTTATTATAAAGACACATTCACATGTATGTTCACTGCAGCCCTGTGTACAATAGCAAAGATCTGGAACCAACCCAAATGCCCATCAATGATAGACTGGACAAAGAAAATGTGGCACATATACACGATGGAACACTATGCAGCCATAAAAAAGGATGAGTTCATGTCATTTTTAGGGACACAGATGAATCTGGAAACCATCATTTTCAGCAAACTGACACAAAAACAGAAAACCAAACACTGCATGTTCTCACTCATAGGCGGGTGTTGAACAATAAGAACACATGGACACAGGGAGGGGAGCATTACATACTGGGGTCAGTGTAGGGGGATGGCAAAGGGAGGGACAGCAGTGGGTGGGGAGGCTGGGAGGGATAACATGGGGAGAAATGCCAGTTACAGGTGATGGGGGGGTGAAGGAAGCAAACCACCTTGCCAAGTATGTACCTGTGGAACAATCCTGCATGATCAGCGTATGTACCCCAGAACCTAAAATACTTTTTTAAAGCTTTTAAAAATGCAATAGTATCTGTTACATGGAGTTATACATGCAGACAAGATGAAGATAGAAAAATCATCCTGCTTTCTTTACACATATGGAACTTAAAAACTTACTAGATTCCACCGTCATCTGGAGCAAACTATCAATAACATTAGACAGGAGTCCTTTACTGGATATTCTTAGATGACTCAATATTACTGGAACAGCTTGATACTCTAAAAACAAGGTTTTTCCTTCTTCTGTCTTCAAGTCCAAACAAAGAGAATCAAATGCCTGAGCCAGGTAATCAGCTGGAAAATAGTATATACAATCAACTGCAGTTTTGCTGGTCTAGGTGGCAATCAGAAACAGAAGGTAAAAAAGCAATGTCATTACTCTAATAAACGCAAAAGAGAAAAAAAATCAAATAAGAGATCACAGTCTAAATTTAGATTCTAACTAATGTGTCAGAACTCAAATAGGCAAGGAGAGAGGAGACATTATGATTGGGTAAATTTCATTTAGAATTTTCCTGTTTCGCCACCAAAATAATAAATAAGCCCCATTTTTTAATACTAAGGAAGCCCCAATATTTAATAGTAAGGAAGAAAAACAATGCTTATTAGTATCACAAATAATGTATATTTTTCATATTTTATAACCACTACATACTTCCAAAAACTTAGTATTTCTATTTTATAATAGCTTTCTAAGATTTTATGTTTTTTGTTGCTGTTTCTAAATGTTTACCTACTTCAAAATGTAACTTTATAAAAACATGCTAAATAGACTTTAAGGATTTCTGCCTCGTAGTAAAGCTGAAAGAAAAGGCCATTCAAAGATAAATTCAGAAGACTGAATATGCTCTGGTGTGTCACTTTTCACAATCCATCTGCCATTAAGAATGGCAGCAAGATTTTACCCAGGTCAGCACTGTGATGACTGCTGAATCAGAATCCATGAAACTTTCTTAAGGATGTCTCACAGATGACTGGGAAACCTGTAAGCCCAGGATTGGGAAGCACTAATTTAACCAGAATCAATGCAAATGAAGTAGTAAGATACTGCATCATTACACTTCAGTATACTACACAACCCAAGTCCCTACTCTTACAACAGTCTTACCTTGTGATTTTAATGTACAATAATCAAGTTTTCTAAAACTCTCCTTTCAAAATGTTATTCAAAGGAATAAAAAACTGTTCATACTATCCAAGTCATAGTTCATTTTTCTACTGAGATTTCTATTTAAAGACTCAAGAGGACCATGAAATACTGAAAGTACAACAGAATCGCCATATTAAAATTGACTCTTTTGTAGTCTCATGTTGCATTTCTTCTTTGCTGTTTCAGCTTACATAATAAATAATTTAAAAGCCTGGTTATTAAGAATGAGAAATTGAGAATAACTTGTATGAAGCTGAAATACATATGAAACTATTTTGAGAAATTAAGATCTGTGCCTCTGGATCAACTAACAGTACGCTCCATTTTTACCACTGGTAGAATTTAGTTCAAGAAACACTAACATTACCGTACTTAATTTTGTGGTTTAAAAAAACACTGTAAATAAATACGTATTAAGTTAAACAAAGTTGCCTAGATTCTATTCAGACTAGTCTTATTTAGAAACATCTTTTTTTTTTTTTTTTAACAACAACACAGGTAGAGGAGTATAGACAGATGAAGCCTGAAAGTTAACGCTTTACTGAAACAAAAGTTTTATCACAGTGCCACCTACTGTATTTGACACGAATTACTCTTAGTATATAATTTGACAAGATTAAACAGGTTGAATACAGTATTTAAAAATAGGCTAACTACTATATGGTATTGTTTGCAAACTTTAAAAAACTGTCCCTTATTAATTTTGAGGATTAGAAAACTGTATTTGGTTACTTTTTCACAATTGACCTTATATTTTAGGAATAAATCAAAACTGTCCTCATTCTGTCTTAATTTTAATTTATTGAATGGTTCAGATTTTCTAAAAATAAGCAATTTAACTTCTGAAAGGGTTTTTTTTTTAAATTTTAGTTATCAGTTATATCAAAGTTGATTTATTTTTGTTATATTATTGAATCTTTTAACAATGTCCTGACAATCAAATGTTAACCTTTTTTATTCCCTAACAAAGGTCAAACTTCAAACTATTCATCTTAATCAATATCAAATAGGGGTTTTCCATTATTTTATTTATATGGCAGATTAAAAAATGATTAGAAAGTGTTTTGTAGAAACTCCTATCAAAAGGTGAACTCTACTGTCCAGTCTTTGAATCTGGCCTAACTTTGTGACTTAACCAATAAAATGCAACAGAAACGATGCTGTGAATTAGGAGACTGAGGCTCAGTTAGATACTCTTCACTTATAAACAGGCCCCTGAAGAGATGCCAACCAATAACAGGAGAACTTAGCCCAGCCCAGCCAAATACCCAGCGGAGCTGAGCACAAATCACCAACCCAAAGAACTGTGAGCAGGTAAACAAAATGGTGATTAAACTAAGTAACTAAGTGTATGGCAGTTTATTATGCAGGAATAGACAACAAATGTAGTCTAATAGACCTCAATTCTGATCTCAAGTAAAAGTTTAATAATAATGTCTACTGATAACAACAGTAGTTATCGGTATATACAATACAACAGTATTTCAGAGATTGAGCATAACATACTGATTAAGTGTGCAGGCTAAACGTTTTTATGCCTCAATTTCCTCATTTGTAAAATTACAATATTAATAATATTGACATCTCGTTGACATCCAACTGTTGTAAGGATTAAATGAGTTAAAATATATAAAGTGTTTGGCCTATAACATAGTAAGTGCTATGTAGGTGTTCGTTATTTCTTTGGTTATCTCAGGAAGTGCATGCTCTTAGGTAGTCATAAAGTAGGCTTAAGAAGGTAGGCTTCAGCAACTGATAGAGGTGGACTAAATTAGACTCGTCAAATGCAGATTGTATCACTTCCCTTCGGCACAATTACCTACCTTTGTAAACCTCATTACTAATATGAGGATAACAGCATTCAGAGATAAGGTACAAAGAGTTTAGCATCTGTGGTGTTAGGATATAGATTTTCCTCTCTTGTTGGTCTTTTGTTATGATGTTGAGTTTGTTAGGCCTCAGGGGCAGGTCTCTGACCTTCTCCTGCCCTCCTTTCACCTGACCCAAGCCAGGACTCTAATCTTTCCCAGACTTTCCGATTGTGGGTCTTAAGACCCTCCCCAGACAGAGTCCTGCCCTATATCCTGGGGGACAGAATTGTGATGTCACAAAGCACCCTTAAAAACCCAAAGGGTTTTTATGGTGGCTCACACCTGTAATCCTAGCACTTTGGGAGACCGAGGTGGGCAGATCACCTGAGGTCAAGAGTTTGAGACCAGCATGGCCAACGTGGTAGATCCAGGTAGATCGTGTCAGAAGTGAATTAGAGCAGCTTGTGTCTGCTGCTTGGTGTTTGGGGAAAAACCTCCACACATTTTGTCACAGAAGTGGATAATTATTGTCATGTGGGAGTACAGAAAAAATACAGTTAAAGAGTTTTCCCTACACAGGACTGTGGTGTCAAAACTCACCAAGTATTATATATGCTGATTCTTATATGAACAGTCTATTCAATATAACCAGGTATTATCCTTATAGATCTACATGTAGTTGGATTAAGCATTTAATGTGTATTATCCAACACATTTGCCTATTTTGTATTTTCTGCTAAATTTATCAAATTTGAAACTGATATTCCTATTTCATAAATAGGAAACATCTTACCAGAGTTAGGTAAGTCTACTCATGATTTAAGAGTTTTTCTTATGTTTAAATTTCTAGTTCTTTTAAAATTTTTTCATTATATTTAATGATAAAAGGATAAATAGCTGATAACCTGGTATATCTAAATTTCCTTTTTCCCCGTACTTATAACCATTCTCCTAGTGGTAGTTACTAGATGATTTCTTTCCTTTCCTAGCTCTTTCATTTGGTTTCTTTGATATATCCTGAGATTACACCAATTGGGATCCAACAGCAGCCTTTCAACTTTCAGCCTATTCAGCCTCTCTGGAGCATCTGATAATGAGGAGGAAGCACCTGTTGAAAAGGAATCAGTTGATCCACTCCTGAATTTGATACTGATGTAAACCTGAAGCCACTCACCTTTCTTAATGTTAATTTCCTCTCCCTCAAACGTGAGGACAGAAAATGTATTCCTCAGGGTAATGTTAATCTTCATAAGTTATTTCAAAGTCACCCGATAAACTCTAAGACCAGACTTCCCAAATTATCTTCCTTAGAAAATTAGTTCTGTATATTGCTTTCTCACAAAGGGTTTGAGAGTTAAATAAGTTTGGGAAATGTTGCATACAATATACTCAAGTTTTAGAGATTTAGAATGCCCACTAGAACGTTAATGAACTTTGCTTATCCCAAAATTTCCCAAACATTTTAAACTGTAGACCCCAATGACTCCTCCTTTATTTTCTTGAGGTGCATCTATTATTTAGCCTAAGGAGCTGCTTTCCCATGAAATGGACTGCTAGGATGTCCCACATAAACATGCAGATGTCTTTTTAAAGTAGTGATTAAAGGATCAGGGGGCCTCTCTGGATTCTCATTATTTCCCATTGAAGCTGGTACAGTTTTAAAATCTCCAAAGTTCCCATCCATGCTGGAGAAGATGTGGAGAAATAGGAATGCTTTTACACTGTTGGTGGGAGTGTAAATTAGTTCAACCATTGTGGAAGACTGTGGCAATTCCTGAAGGATCTAGAAACAGAAATACCATTTGACCTAGCAATTCCATTACTGGCTATATATCCAAAGGATTATAAATTGTTCTATCATAAAGAACACATTTGACATGATTCAACATTCTTAAAAAGATAACATGTGTGTACCTATACAACTGTCTTGCATGTTCTGCACATGTACCCCAAAACCTAAAATCCAATAAAAAATTAAAAAAAAAAAGATAACTTGCACAGGGAAGTCATTAATTCCATAAATAATATGAAGTGTCAATTTTGATTCATTTCTGGACTTCCTATACCCACCGTCCTATTTTGATACATTAAATCAATTATTACTCATTTCATGTCCTTACATATTAGGATTGTTTTAAAGTTGGCTAAGCCTCTGCCCCAGGGTTGTTGTTTTACTTGTTTTAAATCATTGCATTTGTTTCCATTTTTTTCCACATAAATTTCCCTATCACTTCCCCAATTTATGCAAACTATATTAGAATTTTAACTGGTATTATACATTAAGCCATGTAGGACATCTTATTTTTAAAATACTTGGTCTTCACAGGCAGGAAGAATAAAAGTTCTTTATTTCTGACATTTAACTTCAGCAATAATCTTCACCAACCTATTCATCATCCATTATTTACCCATATTCTTATGCCCTGTTATCTTCAAAAGCCCTTGATTAATATAGAGTATCCACAAATTAATGGCCTTCTCTATTCCTTCCCAATATTCATACTTAATTTTTTCATGGCTCATTACATATGTCCAAAACTGTCTTGCACACAAGTGGTGACAGAGAGCATCTAATTCCCTTCTATTTCAAATAAATATCCCTTATTGCATTTTTGCTTTTGGCATTTTACAAGAAATGAATATTATATGTTATTAAATGATATAATATGTTGATACATTATTTTAAACACCTTTCTTAGTTAAATGATTAATAATTTTTCTTATATTAAATTGGCTTTAATTCTTGATACTAACCTTATTTGATCTTTGGTGAACATATTTTGTAATGTGTGGCTATGGTCTGTCAGCTAAAATTCTTATTTAGAATTTATTTACCTGTGGGTATGTAAGTGTGTATGTATTTTTTTAAGATTCAGAGATAGGCCTGTGGTGTACTTTATTTTGGGCTATAATCCCTGCTTCTTGTAAGTGACTTTTCATACACTTATCACCTAGTCTATTGTAATTTTGAGAAACATAACCATAAGGAGACAAAATAATTAAGAAGGCAAAGTTATACGGTTTTTTGCTTTTTCATCAATTCCATACCATCAGGAGTAACTAAGCAAAACATATTTCAAAGAAAGAAGTCAAATTAAGTTACTGTCATTGCCCATTAATAAAAACAACAATCTGAGTCATATAATTTAAAAGGGAAGACAGAAAGATGATATATTCATTGCCTGACTACATTGGCATAACTCACTTTAAGAAAAAATATCATATTTAATAATCTAAAAATATAACCAGTTATAGCTAAATATTAAGCACATGATAATTAAGGCCAACTTTGAAGGATTTCTAATTCGTCCACTTGCTTATTCACTATTATACATGAAGCATTACGCTAGGCGCAGAGTCATTATAAACAGGTTTTCTCCTCTTCTTTTCTTGTTTTTTTTTTTTTTTTTTTTTTTTAAGACGGAGTTTCGCTCTTGTTGCCCGGGCTAGAGTGCAATGACATGATTCCAGCTCACCACAACCTCCACATTCTGGGTTGAAGTCATTCTCCTGCCTAAGCCTCCCGAGCAGCTGAAATTACAGGCAAGCATCACCATCCTCAGCTAATTTTTTGTATCTTTAGTAGAGATGGGGTTGCTCCATGTTGGTTAGGCTGGTCTCAAACTCCCAACCTCAGGTGATCTGCCCACCTCAGCCTCCCAAAGTGCTGGGATTACAGGCGTGAGTCACTGCGCCCAAACACAAACAAGTTTTTTCTTCAAGAAACTTAAAAGCTAGTACAAGCACTGAAAAACGTTTTCTGTAAAAGGCCAGATGACAATATTATAGGCTTTGGGGGCCATACAGTCTCTGCTGCCAACTACTCAAGTCTGTCACTGTAGGGCAAAGAGTCACAGACAGTGTATAACAAATGAGCATGGCTGTGGAAGAAAACTTCATTTACAAAACAGGTGGTAGGCCAGATTTTGCCCGTGCACTAGTTTGCAAACCCATTTACTAGTGGAAAACAATAAACTAACTAACAATTTCAACCTTATGTGACAAATACAAATAGATGTAAGCAAAGTATGGGAATGTGACTTAAGACAATCAAAGGCTTCTTGGGAGGAGGCAACAATCCAACTAAAGACTTCGATTTCTCAAATTCATCTAATAGAAGTAGGTTCTTACAATGTGTAACCATTATAAAACAATTCAAAATCTCATTCTGAATATGTACAACATATTTGATTATAAAAGAATTGCTTTAATATATGATATTCGCTACTGTTTCTCAAAATTATACCATAAGCACACTTGAAAGCTTACCTCGAGTGACTGTTTTGAGAACAATTAAGGTTGATAAAAATCTCAATGGCAAATTGGAGCTCTTAAAGAAAGCAACTGCCTTTGGTTTATTCTCCACAGAATGCTCTAAAGAACTATCCTGTATCCCTTTAGTTACCACTCCTTTGAAAATGTCTTCACCCAGTCTCCTCAGTGTTGATGTCATAGTTGAGTGCTGTTAAAAATATGTACAATCTTAGTATATTTATTCATGTTCAGAATATATATTATTTTTTGTTTTTTGAGACAGAGTCTTGCTCTGTCACCAGGCACCAGGCTGGAGTGCAGTGGCACAATCTCAGCTCTCTGCAACCTCCGCTTCCCAGGTTCAAGCGATTCTCCTGCCTCAGCCTCCCAAATATCTGGGACTATAGGCATGTGCCACCATGCTCAGCTAATTTTTGTATATTTAGCACAGATAGAGTTTCACCGTGTTGGCCAGGGTGGTCTCAAATCTCTTGACCTCATGATCCACCCGCCTCAACCTCCCAAAGTGTTGGGATTACAAGCATGAGCCACTGCACCTGGCCTTTTATTTTTTTTGACACACAGTCTTGCTCTGTTGCCCAGCTTGGAGTGCAGTGGTGAATCATGGCTCAGTGCAGCCTCAAACTCCTGAGCTCAAGCAATCCTCCTACCTCAGCCTCCCACTGGGACTACATGTATTCACCACCACATCCATTTTTGTTGTTTTTTTTTTCTGTTTTTTTTTTTTTTCTTTTATTAAGACGGGGTTTCACCGTGTTGGTCAGGCTGGTCTTGAACTCCCAACCTCAAGTGATCCACCTGCCTTGCCTCCAAAGTGCCTGGATTATAGGAGTGAGCCACCACACCCGATCTTTGTTGGGTTTTTTTTGGTAGAGATAGGGGTCTCACTAAGTTGCCAAGGCTGGTCTCAGACTCTTGGGCCTAAGTGATCTTCCTACCTTGGCCTCCCAAAATGCTGGGATTACAGGATTATGAGCCACTGAGCCTGGCCAATAACTATTTTAAATATTAAATCAAATATATGTATTAAAAGTAAGTGAATCTATGGCTATTTTAAAAAATGAAATTGAAAATATGCAAAATCGGAAAGTAACAGTTTCATTATCAACATAAAAAATTATTTAAGTATGACTGTATATTTTTCTAAAACATATAAGAACATAAAATCAAGCTATATTTCTGACACTGAAGTATCAAGGGAACTTCAGAGGTGGACTACGTACTCTCTCAATTGCTGATTGCTCTACCATCAGTGAAAACCGGCTTATCAGGAACATCTTTCTGTGTTCGCTTATGAAATGATTATCACTGCCCTCTGCTCACTCTGACTACAAAAATCATAGTGACTCCAAAAACTTTTAGCAATTTCTAAACAGTAAAATACTGGGTTAGAATCATGGATGATTCTCATGGAGAATAAAAAAAAAGGACAAAACAGAAATAGTGTCATGAAACTACTTCTAAAATAATATATGATCTAATGGTATTTGATAAGCTATTAAGAATCAAATGAAAGGAAAGCATTTCAAACTGCTGCAGATCAGAATGTTCAACCCAGATTTGGAAACAACTTAAAGTTTCCTTTATTATGACCCAATTCCCAAATCTCATGTGACTGAGTTTTATAGCAGTTTCCCCATCTGCATGGAAATTTGTGACCAACTGGTTGCTAACTCCGTATTGATCCTGCAATGTGTTAAATTTCTGCATGTAAAGTTAAAAACAAATCTATTAAGGTTTTGCAGGTGTCAAAGGCCAAATGGTTGAGTAGTGAGACACACAAGCAGTGCAATCTAATTTAATATACTGTTAATACAATCTTAATATTATTAGAAAAAATAATACTTATATGTTTTTAAATTTATGTATAAAAAACAGAAAAAATGTTCAAAACTCTACTTATAATAAGTGTGTTAAAATGGCAGGATTAAGGCACACTTTTTTTGTTTTTAAAATTATCTCCAATGCTTTAATACTATACTTTTATAATGAAACAAATAAAAATTAAAAAAAAAATACGGACAGTATTTACCTTTAATTGAAGGAAAAGAGAAAAAAATCCAAAATAACACTCTGGGTTGTTGCTGAAGCTTTGCCTAAGGATGCTAAAACTTTTTGCTGAAGCAAATCTAGACCCAAAATGTCTAGTTTTCTAAAATCTAAAATCTAAAATCACCCATCATTCCAAGAACCAGAAAGATTTCAAACTGAATGAAAAAAAGACAATCAACAGCTGCCAACACCAACAGCACAGAATGTTAGCATTGTCTGACAAAGACTCTAAAGCAGCCATGACAAAAGGATCACCTGCATGCACTTTTAGAAAATCTCATCAAAGAAATAGAAAGCCTTCCCAAAAAAACAAAGAAAAAGAAACAAGTAGATATCTCAGAACTGGAAATACAGTAACAGTCTCAATAACAGAATGGAGGAGATGGATGAAAGGATAACTGGGAAAAAAAAAAAACAATGGAAAACACCCAACCTGAACAACTGCAAACAACCTGGAAAAATAATAAAAACAACCACCACCACCAGAACTCCAAGGAATAACGAAACATCTAAAATCATGTCATTAGAGTCCCAGGGAAGGAAAAATCAGGTAGGGTTGAAAAGTACTTAAAGAAACTGGGTGCGGTGGCTCATGGTCATACTCCTGGCACTTTCAGAGGCCAAGGTGAGATCACTTGAGCCTAGGAGATCAAGAGCATCCTGGGCAACACAGGGAGACCTGGTCTCTATTGAAACAAAAAATTAGCTGAGCAAGGTATCACCTGCCTATGGTCCCATCTTGAGCCCAAGAGGGTGAGGCTGCATAGAGCCATGATTGCACCACTGCACACCAACCTGGGCAACAGAATGACACCCTGTCTCACAAAAAAAAAAAAAAAGAAGGGAAAAAAAAAGAAACGGCCGGGCGCAGTGGCTCATGCCTATAATCCCAGCACTTTGGGAGGCCGAGGTGGGTGGATCACAAGGTCAAGAGATCGAGACCATCCTGGTCAACAAGGTGAAACCCCGTCTCTACTAAAAATACAAAAATTAGCTGGGCATGGTGGTGCGTGCCTGTAGTTCCAGCTACTCAGGAGGCTGAGGCAGGAGAATTGCTTGAACCCAGAAGGTGGAGGTCACGGTGAGCCGAGATCGTGCCATTGCACTACAGCCTGGGTAAAAAGAGAGAAACTCCATCTCAAAAAAAAAAAAAGAAAGAAACATATACACATGCACATAAAACATGAACTTCAAGAAATAATAATTGAAAACTTCCTCAACTTGGCAAAAAAATGTGCCCAGAGACTGAAGAAGCTAAGTAAACCCCAAACAGGCTAAATATAAAGAGATCAACACCAAGACCCATCATAGTCAAACTTATGAAAACCAAAGAGAAATGTGTGAGAAAAATGACATTTTACATATATGGGAAAAATAACTCAAATGACAGCAGATTTCTCATCAGAAACCATGAGGGCAGAAAGAATTGGCCCATTTTTCAAGTATTGAAAGTAAAGAATTATCACCCTAGAATCTGATACCCAGTGAAAATATCCTTCAGGAATTACAAGAAATCAAAATATGTTAAGAAAAACTAAGAGGATGTGTCATCAGCAAACCTACTCTAGGCCAGTAGCTCATACCTGTAATCCCAGCACATTGGGAGGCTGTGGTGGGTGGATCACTTGAGGTCAGGAATTCAATACTAACCTGGCCAACATGGCAAAACCTTGTCTCTACTAAAAATGCAAAAATTAGCTAGGCATGGTGGTGGGAGCCTGTAATCCCAGCCACTTTGGAGGCTGAGGCAGGAGTATTGCTTAAACCCAGGAGATGGAGGTTGCAGTGAGCCAAGATGGTGCCACCGCACTCCACCCTGGGGGACAAGAGTGAGACTTTACCCCCCGAAAAAATCCTAAATTAAAATAAATGGAATACCAAGAAGAACTATTAGAAAAGTAATACAAAGAGAAACACTCAATACAGTATAGATAAAGAAAAATAAAATTCTAAAAAATGTTCAAGAAACCCATAAGAAAGCAGAAAAAAGAGCCAAAGAAATGAAAAAGAGAAACAAAAAGAACCACCCAGTAGTTAAAAAAATAAAGTTACAGCTTAAGCCTAACATATCAATAAGTACATTACATGTAATCAGCCTCAAACACCAACTAAAACACAGAGCTTGACAAAGTTGATTTTTTCTAAATCCAGCTATATGATGTTTATTTTTTTAAAAAAAAAAAACACTCTAGATACAAGCAGGTCAAAAGAAAAAGACTGGGAAAGGATACATTATCAGAACATGAATCAAAGGAAGGCAGAAGTTTCACTATTAGTATCAGATAAAGAGATGCCAGAGGCAATGCAAATGATCAGAGATAGAGAAGGACATTATAAAATGCTAAAAAGGGCAAATCCACCAAGAAGACATAATCCTAAATGTACAAGCACAACAAAACAGATGAAGCGTATAACATATACATCTGGCTGGGCGCGGTGGCTCACGCCTGTAATCCCAGCACTTTGGGAGGCCGAGGAGGGTGGATCACGAGGTCAAAGGATCGAGACCATCCTGGTCAACATGGTGAAACCCCGTCTCTACTAAAAAAAAAAAAAAAATACAAAAAATTAGCTGGGCATGGTGGCACGTGCCTGTAATCCCAGCTACTCAGGAGGCTGAGGCAGGAGAATTGCCTGAATCCAGGAGGCGGAGGTTGCGGTGAGCCGAGATCGCACCACTGCACTCCAGCCTGGGTAACAAGAGCGAAACTCCGTCTCAAAAAAAAAAAAGATATATATATATATACATCTACAATTATAGCTGGAGACCTCAACATCCATCTGCCTCTCCACATTTGATAGAACAGGATAAAATATTGGCAAGGATACAGAAAAACTCACAAATACCATCAACCAACAGGATCAAATTGACATTTAATCAACACTCCACCAAACAACTGAATATACATTCTCAGCCATAAAACAACCTCAACAACACAACTAAACTAGAAAAACAGAAGAATAACGAAAAGACTCACAACAAACTTCTAAAGAATTCAAGGGTCAAGCCAGGCGCAGTGGCTCACACCTATAATCCCAGCACTTTAGGAGGCCAAGGTGGGCGGATCACTTGAGGTCAACATGGTGAAACCCTATCTCTACTAAAAAAAAAAAAAACACAAAAATTAGCCGGGCATGGTTGTGGGCACCTGTAATCCCAGCTACATGGGAGGCTGAGGCAGGAGAAGCACTTGAGCCTGGGAGGCTGAAGTTACAGTGAACTTGTGCCACTGAACTTGAGCCTGGGCGACAGAGTGAGTGAGACACTGTCTCAGAAAGAAAAATAGAAAAAAAAATATGAAACAAAGAGATGATCCTTTGAAAGATCAATAAAATAGAGAAACAGAGAAATTTCTAGCAAAAAAGACAAAATAAAGAAAGAAAACACAAATTATCCTTAACAAGAAGGAACCAAGGCTATCACTACAGATACTGAAGACATCAAAAGGATAAGAGAATACTATGAAAAACTCTGCACTCATAAATTTGCATACATTTGAACTGTTCAATTCCTCAAAAAGCACAAACTACTACAAATCATCAATATGAATTACATAACCAGAACAGCTTTCTATTAAAGAACTTAAATTCATAATTTAAAACCTCCCCCAAAAGAATTCTCATCGAGATAGTTTCACTGAATTATTCTACCAAATGTTTAAAGAAGAATGAACACTAAGTCTACATAATTTCTTCCAGAAAACATAAAGGATAAGACACTTCCCTATTCATTTTATGAACTTAATATTGCCCTGATACAAAACCAAAGAGAGTTCAAAATTATAGACAAATATCTCTCATTAATATAGAAACAAAAGTCCTTAACAAAATGTTAGCAAATAGAATTTGCTAATATAGAAATATATAAAAAGAATTAAACATCACAACCAAGTGAGTTTTATTTCAGAGATGCATGGCTAGTTCAATATTTCAAAGTTAATGTAATTCATATTAACAAGTTAAAGATGAAAAAGAACATGTGATCTCAATCAATGCAGAAAAAGTATTTGAAAAATTTCAACAGCATGATTTTTAAAAACTCGGAGAAATAGGAATACAGATGAACTTGATTAAAAATATCTATGAAAATACTACAGCTAATATTGTACTTAGTGATGGCAGAATGAATGGTTCCTCCTATTTTTTTTTTTTTTTAAGATGGGGTTTCTCCATGTTGGTCAGGCTGGTCTCGAACTCCCAACCTCAGGTGATCCACCCGCCTAGGCCTCCCAAAGTGCTGGAATTACAGGTGTGAGCCACTGCGCCCAGCTGGTTCCTCCTAAGAGGATGACTGCTCTCACCACTCATATCGACATACTGTTAGAAACTCTAGTTAATGCAGTAAGGTTGGAAAAGGAAATTGAAGGCATACATATCAAAAGGAAAAAAAAAACACTGTCTTCATTGTAGATAACATGATTTTCTATGTAGAAAATCCTGGCCGGACAAAGTGGCTCATACCTGTAATCCCAGCACTTTGGGAGGCTTAAGGCAGGCAGATTAACTGAGGTCAGGAGTTCAAGACCAACCTGACCAACATGGAGAAACTCCATCTCTACTTAAAATACAAAAAATTAGCCGGGCATGATGGCACATGCCTGAAATCCCAGCTACTCAGGAGGCTGAGGCAGGAGAATCACTTAAATCTGGGAGGTGGAGGTTGCAGTGAGTTGAGATTGCGCCAGCGTACTCCAGCCTGGGCTACAGAACAAGACTCCATCAGAAAAAAAAAAAAAAAAAAAAAAAAAAAAAATCCTGAGGAAGCAGAAGCTTCAAGAAAACTCCTAAAACTAGTAAGGTCAACATCACAGTATACAAAGTAAACAAAAATAAATTTCTACACATGATTAATGAACATGTAAATATCAAAAGTAAAAAGACAATATCAATCAAAATTACTCCAAAAACTTAAATACTCAGCAAAAATCTAAACAAGAATGCAGCAATTTTATGATGAAAACTACATAACATTGATAAAGTTCTAAATAAGAAGGCATTTTATATTCATAAAAATTGAAAGCCTCAACAAAGGAGAGACATCAATTCTTCTCAAATTGATAAGTAGTTTTTACACGATTCCTATCAATATCCCAGCAAGATACCTTACACATAGGGAAGATTATTCTAAAATACAGAGAATATATTCAAAACAGATATTGTGAAACAAGATCAAGAAGTAATATTAAGTGGAGTATTACTTGAAGATAAATTTCTATTAACCAATTACCTGTGCTCCAGCATCTAGCTGCCTCAGGGACCAATATATAAATTTTACAAAAGGCTCGTGAAGTTTGGTATTCACACATGGGATCCACTGTAGCTGCTCTGTCATCAGAGGCAAAAGCTAAAGATAAAATGATGAAAAATAAATATAAAGGCACAATATTTTTTAATTTCTGAAATCAACTACCACAATTTTCCAAAATTAACTTTAAAAAAAAGAGTTCTCCAACAAAAAACTTTCACTTTAAAACTATATGCAATACAATTTAGCAATATGCATCTGAAGTTTTATATATGAATTTTCTTTCATCCAGCAATAACAGCACATCCAGTTTAAGGAGATTAACCTACACAAAGAAACTCTCTGAACCTTAAATGGTTAAATAAACTTACAGTACATATGTAACCATTAAAAATGTTAACCTAGATTCACATTTATTGCTATGGCATATTCTGGTATAAAAAAGGTGTTTACAGGGAAGCAAATGGAATAAAAATCTCATTTACATTAAACATGTCTATATAAATTTATATTGAAAAAGATATATGAAAAAATTATTTTTAAAGCTGGATTTCAGAAACTGGAATAATATTTACCTTTTTTACATATCTACATTGCATGCATATCTTAATATGTTAATTTATTAAAATAATATTAAAATATTTAAAGATATCTATGAACTTTGCTTCAAAGTGGTGTCATTTTGCTAAATGATTTCAGGATTATAAAGATATATTCTAACAGAATATTCCCACTTCTGAGATACCAGCCTAAGAAAATCATTTGAAGAAAATCCCTCCAAAAGCCATGTACAAAGATATTTATTGCTACACTGTTTATGAGTATAAACCTGAAAGTAATTGTATAGCAATAGAAAAATGGATATATCAACTGTATAAAGATTCTTTGGACTAATGATTATGAGTATATTGTGTTTATTTAGATATATACATTTTTAAAAATTTTCTGGAGCCAGGAGTGGTGGCTCATGCCTGCAATCCCAGCACTTTGGGAGGCCAAGGCAGGCAGATCACCTGAAGTCAGGAGTTCGATACCAGTCTGACCAACACAGAGAAACTCTGTCTCTACTAAAAATAATTAGACAGGCATGGTGACGCACACCTGTAATTCCAGCTATTTGGGAAACTGAGGCAAGAGAATCACTTGAACCCGGGAGGCAGAGGTTGCAGTGAGCCAAGATCACACCATTGACTCAAGCCTGGGCAACAAGAGTGAAACTCTGTCTCAAAAAAAAAAAAAAAAGTTTGTATATTATGATGTTTTGACATCTTTAAAAACCTTTCTAGTTGGGGAGAGATTGATCCTCCCTGGACCAGCCAATTCTTAGATATAGCAAAGTGCTCAGCCCAGAGTATGCATCTGATAGACAAAATTCAGAGCCAGACCAATATTCTCTGCCATAATCTTACCAGAGTCACTAGGAACCACCCCTAGAGCTTAGTACCAGTCAAAATTATTCTAATTAGCCAATCCTATTTGTTCACCCTGCCCTGCATTTTTTTTTCATGTAGAAACCACAATAAAGGGTCTGTCCAATGCTTTCCCCTTGGCTCCTGTTTTCCTACCATCTGACCACTCTGGTGTCTTTAAAAAAAAAATTGAAAAAATTATAGACACCTCTTAAGTTGAAAAAGGTCTAAGTAGTATTTTTATGGAAGAATGAAATTTTGAAGCCATATACTCTCTTACGGTCATAAGCTCAGTAAAACTTAATATAAACTTCTCTCCCCAACTTTTAAATAAAGTCATGCATCAGTTAATGACAGAGATGCACTATAAAAGAATAAATGGTAAATTCATTAGCCAGTAACATGGTTGTTTATTTATTATCAAGTAGTATGTACTGTACATAACTTGTGTGCTATTATGTTTATATAACTGGCAGCACAGGTTTGTTTACATCAGTATCAGCACAAACATGTGAGTAATGTCTTCTGCTACAACATCATGACTAGCTATGATGTCACAAAGTGACAGGAAATTTTCAACTCCATTACAATCTTTTTTTATATATTATTTTTTCTTTAGTCTATTATAATCGTGTGGGACCACCATCATAAATACCCTCTACCATCGTCCCAAACACCATTATGCAGTGGATGGCTGTATACTGAAAGGATTATACACCATGACTAAGTGAGATTTATTCCTGCAATGCAAAGATGGTTCAATGTTTTAAAAAACTAATGTAATACACCATCTTAACAAAATGAAGGACAAAACTCACATGATTATTTCAATTGACAAAGAATAAGTGCTGAACAAGATTCAACAACCTTTCATGATAAAAATACTCAAACTTAACAGAGGGAAACTACCTCGATATAATAAAGACTATATATAAAAAGCCCACAGATTTTACTATAAAGGTAAAAGAATGAAAGCCTTTACTCCAAATTAGGAACAAGACAAGGATGCACGTCTTCATCACTTCTATTCAATATAGTAAAAGCCAGGGAAACCAGGTAAGAAAAAGAAAAAGGATCCAAATTCGAAAAGAAGAAGGAAAAATCATTTCTCTTCTTAGATGGCATGACCTTATATGCAGAAAGAATTGTGGAATCCTAAACATTCCACAATTTAAAAAAATGTTAGAATATACAAATTCAGCAAAGTTGCTGAATCAATACTCAAAAATCAGATATGTTTCCATACACTCACAGTGAACAATCCAAAAAGGAAATAAGAAAACAGTTCCATTTACAAATAGCATCAACATTAATGAAACATTTAGGAATAAACCTAAGCAAGCAGGCAAAAAACTTAAACACTAAAAACCACAAAACAGTGATGAAAAAAATTAAAACAGACACAAATAAGTAGAATGAAATTTTATGTTCATGGGTTACAAACTTAATATTATTAAGGTATCCATGCTACCCAAAGCGATCTACAGATTTGATGTAATCTCTACCAAAATCCATATAGCATTCATTTACTATGGTGAACAGTATAGCAGTTTTTCAAAAATTGAAAACAGAACTACCAAATGATCTAGCAATCCCATTATGGATATATGTCCAAAAGGGTTGAAAGCAGGACCTTGAAGGGATATTTGCAAGCCCATATTCATATCAGCACTATTCACAATAGCCATGAGATGGTAGCTGCCCAACTATCCATCAACAAATAATACATAAAACTCTTGAAAGAAAACATACAGGTATCTTACTGTGGTTTTCTATTTCCTTACAGATTAGTGATGTTAAACATCTTTTTATGTGCTTAGGGGTCACGTTCTGTATCTTTGGAGAAATATCTACTTAGGTTATTTCCTCGCATTTTAAAAAATAGGGTTTTTGGTTTTGTTTTTTACTGAGTTGAAAGAGTTCCTTATATATTGTGGGTAGCAATCACTTGTCAGATACACAATTTCAAAATATTTCCTCCTTTGGCCGGATACGGTGCCTCAAGCCTGTAATCCCAGCACTTTGGGAGGCTGAGGCAGGTGGATCATGAGGTCAAGAGATCGAGACCATCCTGGTCAACATGGTGAAACCCTGTCTCTACTAAAAACACAAAAAATTAGCTGGGCATGGTGGCGCGTGCCTGTAATCCCAGGAGGGAGGCTGAGGCAGGAGAATTGCCTGAACCCAGAAGGCAGAGGTTGTGGTGAGCCGAGATCGCGCCACTGCACCCCAGCCTGGGTAAAAAGAGTGAAACTCCGTCTCAAAAAAAAAAAAATTTAAGAAAAAGAAAATATTTCCTCCCATTCTGGAGACTGCCATTTTACTCTGCTGATGCACAAATGTTTTTAATTTTGATGAAGTTCAGTTTATTTCTGCTTTTGTTGCCTGTGCTTTTAGTGTCTTAGCCATGTAATCACTGCCAAATCTAATATTATGAATTAGGAAAGGAGGAAATCAAATTGTCTTTATTTGCAGAAGACATGATTGTATATTTAAAAGACCCCATCGTCTCAGCCCAAAATCTCCTGAAACTGATAAGTAACTTCAGCAAAGTCTCAGGATACAAAATCAATGTGCAAAAATCACAAGCATTCCTATACACCAATAACAGACTTAAAGAGAGCTAAATCAAGAACGAACTGCCATTCACAATTGCTACAAAGAGAATAAAATACCTTGGAATACAACTAACAAAGGATGTAAAGGACCTCTTCAAGGAGAACTACAAACCACTGCTCAACGAAATAAGAGAGGACATAAACAGATGGAGAAACATTCCATGCTCATGGTTAGGAAGAATCAGTATCGTGAAAATGGCCATACTGCCCAAAGTAATTTATAGATTCAACGCTATCCCCATCAATCTACCAATGACCTTCTTCACAGGATCTGGAAAAAAACCACCTTAAACTTCATATGGAACCAAGAAAGAGCCTGCATAGCCAAGGTGATCCTAAGCAAAAAGAACAAAGCTAGAGGCATCATGCTACCTGACTTCAAACTATACTACAAGGCTACAGTAATGAAAACAGCATGGTATTGGTACCAAAACAGAGATATAGACCAATGGAACTGAACAGAGGCGTCAGAAGTAACGCCACACATCTCCAACCATCTGATCTTTGACAAACCTGACAAAAACAAGCAATGGGGAAAGGATTCCCTGTTTAATAAATGGTGTTGGGAAAACTGGCTAGCCATGTGCAGAAAGCTGAAACTGGACCCCTTCCTTACACCTTATACAACATTAACTCCATATGGATTAAAGATTTAAACATAAGACCTAAGACCATAAAAACCCTAAAAGAAAACCTAGGCAAAACCATTCAGGACATAGGCATAAGCAAGGATTTCATGACTAAAACACCAAAAGCAAAGGCAACAAAAGCCAAAACAGACAAATGGGATCTAATCAAACTCCAGAGCTTCTGCACAGCAAAAGAAACAATCATTAGATTGAACCAGCAACCAACAGAATGGCAAAAAAATTTTTGCAAGCTAGCAATCTGACAAAGGACTAATATCCAGAATCTACAAAGAACTAAAACAGATTTACAAAAAAAAAAAAACCAACCCCATCAAAAAGTGGGTGAAGGATATGAACAGACAGTTTTCAAAAGAAGCCATTTATGCAGCCAACAAACATAAGAAAAAAAGCTCATCATCACTGGTTATTAGAGAAATGCAAAT